TGCTCCGACAGGCCGAACGCTAAGGTTCTGTCAGGCGCAGGGGAACCTGCTTACTTTTCCCGGGCGCCGGCTGCGCGCGCCAGGGACATGGCGAGCCCGGCTGCGGGGCCGCCAGAGACAGCGGTGGGCCCGGCTGCGTGGCCGCCGCAGCAGATGAACGCTCATCGGAGCATTATCATTCCCGTGCACTCGTTATCGAAGATATACGAACAGCTTGCGCTGAACTCCGAGCTCGTGGGTGCATGTGTGACCGTATCACGCATGCAGAGGTTATGACAGCTACGGGTGCACAGTGCTTGGGTGGATTGCTCTCGGAGGATTACCAACCACTGCGGGTGGCAACGCCCGCTGACTGGTGCATTAGGTTGCCTGGAAAGCGGGCGGGACCACAATGCCAACGTATCCCAAATCTGATGACTGAAGCTCGAGCTTCACCCATGTCGATAGTGCTTGTGGGACCTCCAGGTTATTTCTGGAAGCAGGGTCCCATGCGAAATATTACTAGGATTTAGGCTTGCAGGTCATGCGTATGCGACGTTGCCACTTCGGTCTGGAGCTTCACCGTTCAAGCAAACTGCCTAGCGGATCCCATCTGCAGGTGGCAACCACCTATACGCGCAGCACAACTAACTTGTGGAGATGCACGTGCCAAATTGCAGGGGAATCCGCACAAGTTGCTGAGCGTGAACTGGATTGGCATGGCCAAGGTGCGCAGAAGGCAGAAGGGCGCAACAAAGCACTTGCTATCCTGACTGCAAGGCTGATTGAGCAAATTGATTCGCATAAAACAACGAGAAACCATACAAGTGCTGCACACCTTAGCATCTACGCAAGGGTAGATACAGGAGCTCGAACTTAGGCCCTGAATGGCACCATGTGGTGAGAGGGGCAACGATGAACCTTGACGACAATATTGTTATACAAGGTATCCAGTTTCAGGACCAACTTATCGGGTACAATCACAAGTCTCCGTTACCGAATGGTGTGGCACATATTCGTACTCGACTGCACTGGAAGCCGCCGGCACCGGTTCTTATCGGACAAAAGGGCCAGCGACCACGCCCAAGGCGGGTCGCGTTCGTCGATGACGATCGTCTTCCCCCCCTCGATTGAGCGTGGCCGCATGCCCCTCCCTATTCCCGAATGTCTGACATTCAGTTCACCCGACACAGAACAACAAACAGCATTACCAACATATGACCAGATCTAACAAAAGGAAAAGCAGAACGCCGACAATGAAGCAGGCATCAATTCAATCGGTGTCGACGGCTTCGGCATCATCTGGCTCGTGCCAGGTCAGAGCGGTGCCAGGCTTGTGGTGCGGGCGGCTGCTGCTCGCCCGCTTGAGGTCGCTCCGATTCCCCCCATCCTTCTGGCAGCGATCCGGGCGCAGCTGGCGCCGCGCGCTGCTCCGCCAGGGGCGGGCTCGGCGCCGCCCTATCGTCGTAGTAGTACGCGAGGTAGTAGTATTCCCCGTAGCTGGTAGCGCGCCCACCGGAGCCGGCCATGGCTCGCGGCAGGCTCGTGGTCGGCGGCGCTTCGAGCCGCGGCGCCGCCGCCTCCTCCTGCTGCTCCATCTCTGCGGGCAGCGCGGGGTCGGCTCTGGCCTCCCGCGGCACTCTCTGCGCAGCTTGCACCGTAGCAGACATGTGCTTTGAAGTCGGTGCGACTCTCGTGCGCTTCCTCCGCGCCAACGTCGCTCGCGGCGCCTGGTTCCTCCCGCGCGTGGCGCTCGCTCGGCCCCGGCGCGTAGCTGGCGGAAGCCGGGAAAGGCGGCCGACAGCCCCATGCCCAGGGGAGCGTCTAGCCACCCGAGCGTGGCCACCAACGCAGTGGAGATGATGCATCCGAGGGAGACGTGACGCATCGCCGACACCTCCTGTCGGCCTCTTCTTCCCTCGGGCCGCGGGCGCCTTGCCGAGGCGACCGCCGCGGGCCGCGCGACCCCTCCAGTCGCCGCCCGCACTGGAGGGGTGTCCTGGCCCAGCCACTACAAAGCACTCCTCGGAATGCCTGGTCGAGCCACAGGCTGGGCCAGCGAGCTATGGCCCCGCCCGCCCACCCAACAAAAAAATACCCTGTGACGTACCCAACCCATTTGTATCAATGGAAACGAGGAGTTGGCCGAAACTTGTATGGACAATCAACTTGATGTGTAAGCTACTTGGGAGGCGTCACTTTGCTGGGCCCCGCAAGCAGGCCTCGAAAGCGGCGACAGTTTCACAGATCGCAGCCCCCCAGTGATGGCGAGGTCTAATTTGAATCTGCGCGTGGCGTCACTGTGCTGGGCCCCCCAGCAGGCCGCGAAAGTGGCGGCAGTTTCACAGATCGCAGCCCCCCAGGGATTGCGAGGTCCCATTTGAGTCCGCCGTGTGTACCCACTGTGCTGGGCCCCCCAGCAGGCCTCGAAAGTGGCGGCAGTTTCACAGATCGCAGCCCCCCAGGGATGGCGAGGCCCCATTTGAGTCCGCCGTGTGTACCCACTGTGCTGGCCCCCCCCAGCAGGCCTCGAAAGTGGCGAGGTCGCAGCCCCCCAGGGATGGCGAGGTCTAATTTGAGTCCGCCGTGTGTACCCACTGTGCTGGGCCCCCCAGCAGCCTTCGAAAGTGGCGCCAGTTTCACAGATCGCAGCACCCAGGGATGGCGAGGTGTAATTAGAGTCCGCCGCGCGTACCCATTGTGTTGGGCCCCCCAGCAGGCCTCGAAAGTGGGGACAGTTTCACAGATCGCAGCCCCCCAGGCATGGCGAGGTTTAGTTTGAGTCCGCCGTGTGTACCCACTGCGCTGGGCCCCCCAGCAGGCCTCGAAAGTGGCGACAGTTTCAGAGACCGCAGCCCCCCAGGGATGGCGAGGTCCCATTTGAGTTCGCCGTGTGTACCCACTGTGCTGGGCCCCCCCAGCAGGCCTCGAAAGTGGCGACAGTTTCACAGATCGCAGCCCCCCAGGGATGGCGAGGTCACATTTGAGTCCGCCGTGTGTCCCCGCTGTGTTGGCCCCCCCAGCAGGCTTCGAAAATGGCGACAGTTTCACCCCCCCAGGGATGGCGAGGTCCCATTTGAGTTCGCCGTGTGTACCCACTGTGCTGGGCCCCCCAGCAGGCCTCGAAAGTGGCGACAGTTTCACAGATCGCAGCCCCCCAGGCATGGCGAGGTCTCATTTGAGTCCGCCGTGTGTGCCCACTGTGCTGGGCCCCCCAGCAGGCCTCGAAAGTGCGGACAGTTCCAGAGATCGCAGCCCCCCAGGGATGGCGAGGTCCTATTTGACTCCGCCGTGTGTACCCACTGTGCTGGGCCCCCCAGCAGGCCTCGAAAGTGGGGACAGTTTCACAGATCGCAGCCCCCCAGGGATGGCGAGGTCCCATTTGAGTCCGCCGTGTGTACCCACTGTGCTGGGCCCCCCCCAGCAAACGTCGAAAGTGGCGACAGTTTTACAGATCGCAGCCCCCCTGGGATGGCGAGGTCCCATTTGAGTCCGCCGTGTTTACCCACTGGGTTGGGCCCCCCAGCAGGCTTCGAAAATGGCGACAGTTTCACAGATCGCAGCCCCCCAGGCATGGCGAGGTCTCATTTGAGTCCGCCGTGTGTACCCACTGCGCTGGGTCCCCCAGCAGGCTTCGAACATGGCGACAGTTTCGCATATCGCAGCCCCCCCCAGGGATGGCGAGGTCCCATTTGAGTCCGCCATGTGTACCCACTGTGCTGGGCCCCCCAACAGCCCTCGAAAGTGGCGACCGTGTCACAGATCGCAGCCCCCCAGGGACGGCGAGGTCCCATTTGAGTCCGCCGTGTGTACCCACTGTGCTGGGCCCCCCAGCAGGCCTCGAAAGTGGCGGCAGTTTCACAGATCGCAGCCCCCCAGGGATGGCGAGGTCACATTTGACTCCGCCGTGTGTACCCACTGCGCTGGGCCCCCCAGCAGGCCTCGAAAGTGGCGACAGTTTCACAGATCGCAGCCCCCCAGGGATGGCGAGGCCAAAGGCAAGGGGGAAGAGAGGGGCGGGAAGGAAGGAAGTAAGGAAGGAGACGCGCGAGCAGTGCTCTATTCAAAACGAGAACCCAACGCAGGAGGGTTGGGAAAAACACTGGACACCGCAGGTGCCCTTGAGCAGGAGGGGAGAGAAGAGGGAGGAAACACGATTAGAGGAGAGGCTACGAGGGGTGAGAAAACCTGCTGTACTAACGAACGTCTAATTTGATGTTTTCTCTGCTGCTGCTGCGCAGGTTTTTTATTACGTAATGGTCGCAAACGCTTTGGGCTGCATTGGTTGAGAGGCGATTGAATTTGGCGCGGGGAGGCTATGCAGGACAGCGGTGGTTGGTGGCGTGTGGAGTTGCATGCTGATCAGTTTGGTTCATTTGAAGGTCGCGTGGATTGGTCCGACCGCGCGCTTTCGTAGTAGCGCGTACTCCGCATCCGTGCCCTCCTGCTCCTCCTCATCCTTCCCTCTCCTCCAGTTCTCATGGCGAGCATCCTCCAAATTTCTCCCCCAGTCTTGATCACGCAGGTCGCGCAACACTTCCCCAGCGCCGGCCATGCCCATCGTATTCGCGGACGGAGTCGCTGCAAGGAAAGAGGAGGATAGGATTGAGGATGGAGGACGGAGGATTGAGGATGGAGGATGCAGGCGCACGGGAGATATTCGCAGGCCACCTCGGGGCCACTGGCCTTGGGATCCCAGCTGAGGAACCCAGAAGTGAGCAGGGGGGGGGGGACTGGCTGATTAGAGGAGGCAGCGGCGCGCACGAGCCGGTGGGGCGGCCTCCTGAGAGGGCAGGGCGCTTCCTCGAAGGGACTGGAGGATCCCGAGAATGCTCCTCAGAATGCGGGAGGGCTCCCGAAGTGTCCCCCAGTGTGCCTTTTTGGACAGCCCCCGTCGCCACATACCCCCTTCGCGCGCGCCGCTAAGCCTGGCAGTGTCTGCGCGAGGTTCGCACCGTGCCCACGGCGCCCTCCTGCTGGCCGTGCCACCGCCGGCGCGCCCGTTCACGAGAGCGCCGCCGAAGCCCTCTGGCCCAAATCACCTGCATCTCAGCGCTGCGAGGCGGCCGTGGAAGCTGAGGCCTGCACGGGATCGTCGTCGTCTTCCAGGAGATCAAGGATCGAGGTTTCCACGCTTGGCCCTCAGGGGCCTCCAGGGGCCCCCGGAGATTTTAATGGGCTTCGTTGATGATCGGAGGCTTCCAGAGATGTCCCTGGGCAGCACGCATTCTGCGCGGCAGTCCAGCGCCCTAGTGATGGAGGACATTCGCACGGCTTGCGCCACCCCCCGCCATTGCCATTTGGCATGTGACCGCATGACATAATGATTAGATGACTGCAGATGGCATGCATCACCTCGGAACGCTTCCCAATGGATGAGGTTCCTTACCCTTGGGCCAACACACCATGCGATTGGTACGTTGTCACACCGCATATACAATCATAACCTCATTGCGCCAGGACGTCTAGCATATGATAGCCGCGGCCACTATTATCGAGATGGCCATTATTATTTTTGCCCCCCCTGAAAGTTTCCGACATTTGCTCTCAATGCTTGAGTTTCTACGCGATTTGGGTTTTAGTGTTGTACGCGTCAGGTTCTGTCACTTTGGCCCCAGATGTGAAGCCGCAAGAGCGACGCCGAGCGGAACGTACATTCAGGTCCCAACCGCGCGAAAGTTATCACCGCGCACGCGGTTGCGCGCACGGACCGGCAAAGGATCGCCCGCTTGACTTTGGCAATCTGGCAGCATGGAGCATTGCAGCCGATGGAGACAACATGCACGCACTGACTTGACGGGCCACCTCATGCAACGCTTGTTCCGACAGAAGCCAGCAGTCGGCACGCGCGAGTTCGGCAATCTGGACGGGACCCGATTCACTCGGTCAAGCGAGGCGGATTCGAAGATATCCGAGGGTCCTGGTTGCCAGAGGAGTTGCGCTAAGCGCCGGTAAGCACAACCAGATCTCCCAGGCAATCCTGATCAGGGACATTCCAATGTGGCGCGGCTGGGACGCATCTTTCCCGGCTGGAGTTGAGAATCTCTCTGCACGCTTTTTCTACAGGGAAGAGGCAACAACATACCGACGACGGAACCACAGAAAAGACGCCAGGTCGTCATCCTCAATTTTGAATCCCCCCATCCGACCGTGGTCGATGGTAGTGCCTTCGTTTCTTGTTTTACGCACATCTGCCCGCCAACGCCCGCTGGCCATGGAAACGCGACAGCACCTCCGACCGGCGCTTGCACGCGACAGAAATACAATATCGACGAGACGAGGACGCCGGCATCCAAGCCCAAGAACACCATCAAACATGGGCAAGACAGTCATGACGATTGCGGGGATGATCTCGGCGGCTTGGGCGTAGACGTTGCGTCGCGATGTGCGGTGTCTATTTCGAAGACCTTATCAGCAGCGACCGCGACCGACATCTCTCCCCATTGGCATCTACACCCGCTGCACCCCTCTGCATGCCCATATCTGCAGCATCATATCCTCCCTCTGCCATGGGCCACCTGATTATCAAGATATGCTGTGACTGTGCTGAGGAAGTGGGGGTATCTTTGAGGTAGCGCGCGCAAGGTGATTGTCTTCCGCAGGGGGTCAAGATACTGTTGCCGCCATGATAGATCGGGGGCACCGAAGGTTGCATACTGTCGTCAATCATTTTCAGGCGACGCGTTTTGTGCGAGTTACTCGGTTGCTCTCCAGCCAAACTGCAGAACGGCAGGCCCGAAGTCTCGGTTCAATTTCAAGGCGATGGGCCACGCGTGAAGGAGCAGCGTGAAGCTGACCTTCCACATTCACGAGATTGTGGCAGCGTCGCCGCACGGCAAAAACAAGTGGCCCGATGTTGGATGCGGAGACAGCCCGCCGCTAGTTGGATTACTGAAGCGCAGCCGTGAATCCAAATACAGAAAGTGAACCCAACATCGCAGGGCGGTGTCCGACCAATCCGCGACGAATGTCAAAGACAGCCGCGCCCATGCGAGAGCCGAAAGGCGCCGCTGCAAGCTGCCCGGTGTTTCTTCGATTTTTTAGTAAATATGCTCCTTTCCGCCTCATATTCAAGTAAAACTTAACTTAGTTTGCATGCATTGCACTGTCAGCTTGAACTGAAGCTGCGTTTCCGCAGCCATACGACTGCTCGAGCCGGCCGACCTCGGCTGGTAGGAGAGAAAAGGAGTGCGCCGGGGTGCGCGGGCGGCTCGTCGTCGTCTGTCCCTCGGCCGACCTCCTCCCTTCACATTCCTGATAGAGTAGTCTTGCTTAACGGATACTTGTCTTATCAATGTCTCATCCCGCCCCCTCTCTCCCTGAGCAAAGTGAACATGAGATCTTAATGCCATTGTCATCTCGCCCCGATTCTCAGAGGAAAGAGTTTTTGTCGTTGCATCGGCGCAGCGGTGCCGCCAAACCTGCCGCGCGGAGCGCGCGGTGGCCGCCCGCCGCTCGAACAAGCAGTGGCGCAGATTTGCCGACGCCGCGCGCCCCGTTGAGAGCCGCGGCGCCCCGTCGCCAAGTGTTTCGAGGGAGATCGACCCTTGGCGGCGCGGGCCTTTCTTGCCTCTATCTGGCCGCGCCCCGCATGGCAGGCGCAATCGACTTCAATGTCCCGAGCACCTCCGCGCCGCCAGCCCCCCGCGCTCTCGACGCCCCCGCGCGCGCAGATACTGCGACGCATTCTCGGTCCATTAGAAATGCGAAACATGTCTGCAGGAGCCCAGCCGCGGCTGCGCTACATAGACGAACGCAGGCGCGCCCAAAAATTTAGCCGGCCCGCGGGCCCCGGCGTCTCTAAGCCCCCGGGGCCCAAGAATCGCGGGCCCCCCGCCCCCTCCGAAATAGTCGAGCCAGTCTGTCTCGTTTATGGGGCGCTCAGGAGCTCGCCCCAGATCGCCGCGACCTCGTGCAACTGGTTGCCCTGCTGCAGAAATCGGCAGTGCGATTGCGTTGCGGGCCGACCGCGGCAACGTGGCGGGCTCTTCCTCGGACGCGCCCCCTCCTGCCTGAAACCAGTTCATCGGTGCGGCAGGATTCGTCGAGCACCTAGCTGATGGCGCCGCGCCCCGATCTTCGGGCCGCGGCGCTGGCCCGAGTGCCCTGCCAGTTTTGGGCCCAGTCCGACATCCAGTCCAGCCTTGAGGCGCTCGGGAGTGCCGACCTCGCCGCGGTCAACAGTGAGCTTCGCAAGCTGCATCTCCGGTTCTTTCGTGCGAAGGAACCCGCGATGCGCCGCGCCCTGCAGCGAGTGGGTTTAGGCGACGCCCACTTAAACATGATTAGGCCCATATTTCGCACATGTCGTGAATGCCGGCCATGGGAACGCCCGGGCGCCTCCACCCTGCCATCGTTTCGCTTACCCGGCGGATTCAAACTTGACGGTGGAGCGCCGCCTGTTCTTGTAAAAGAATCACATCGCCTTTCACATCGTCGACCGATGTATCAGGCGTGCCAATGGATGTGAGGTCCCCAACTATTCCAAGGGAACCTTCGTGGATCCATCCTATCACGGCTTGAGCAAGCAAGTATTTGGTTTGATGGCGAGGGGCCTCAACAACGACGGCTTAGAGCCGGCTGACAGGTTCGGGAAACGCGCATCGCATTTGAGTTTCAGTGAATCACGCTAACACGAGTGCGGCCCGAAGCGGTATTTTCAGAGGGGCCAGGCAGACATTGAAGAAGATCTTCGAAGGCAAGGCTCGCCCTTCGCTTTCCATTGACCACTGGCCGGAGCGCCGTTCGCTTGCAACGCATTCGCCTTCTATGGGGGGTTCTCCCCGCGCAGCGCTTGTCATGGCAGACAGACGCGCCCGGCGTTGGAGGGCCAGACCTTGGCCGCCCCGAAACCGCGGGCCATGGCCGTGAGAGCCGCGTCCGTGAGAGTGCCTGTGAAGCCATTATTCCGGCCACTGCCGCGGCCTAGGTAAACCGGGCTCTGAAGGCAAAGACCAGAGCGGGCGGCGCCATTGTCTTCCGAGTAGGCGATCTGGTGGAACAAGGAATTTGACATGGACAACATGGCCATGATAACGATCACATCCTACGCTGCGGCTCTTCCGGCAGGAAATGATCTCCTTTGGCTGCATCTCCTGCCGGAGGAAAGCTAGCCCCGGATGTGCATGCGGCGCGGTAGTGCATCGTCAGGGCCCATTTTAGGATCGACAGCGCCATGGCCGTAAGGCTGGCTAAGAGTGCCCATTCTATGAGGACCAACCAGGAAGCTCACTGGCGACGTCCAGCCCGGCATTCATATGTGCGAATCCGCCAAGGCCCATTTCGACAGTCGGGGCATCGCTGGCGCGACCATGTTTGCTTCGTACAGCGACTGATTGCATCTAGACCTGTCCACCCGTTCGGTGAATGTGTCATTCGAGTCCCGCGCCATGTTGAACCTCGGGACGCATGGTGGCCGAGGACTCGCGAGCCCTTGCAAAACCCCAGTGGGATCCGAGCGCGGAGACGGTCTCACATCTACAATGGTAGAGGGCTCTGACGAACATGAGAAGAACACCGGGATCACTGATGATTGGTATCAGGGACTCATGGGCACCGAGCACCAGTCTGTGGAAGCATGTGACATTCGTTATTATTGCACATTTGCAATTCCTTCTCTCGATTCCCACTCCCGTTGTGCCTGCGCGCGCGGCATTCGCATCTCACGAGCATGAAAATCCAATGGTGTGCACAAAAGGATGGACGCCCTACCTCCTATAAGGAATTCTGTTGCCCCTGGATAGCCATGGAGGTGTTGGGCAATGGTGGCGCTCGCCACCGATGTCTCTTTGACTCCGACGAGCACGGTCGGCGTGCCGAATTATGTTTCAGCGACGCGGAGGGAAGGATGGCATTCGATGAACCTGTATTGGAAGCCGGTCGCCCCGACGCGTTCGCTACCATTTGTGCCCGCGCATCAACCGAAGTCAAGAGGGTGGCGGTGGTCCACCGTGGTCGCAGAGGTCTGCTTGCTTTCCGAATCGGGCATTGCCAGCGTACCCAAATTGGCATCATGCGCACTATTGGCCGATCTCGAGACATGCATGGACGACCGATGCTTCGCCGCAGAGTTGTCCGAGACCCGCGCCGCCATGGCCCCGAGATGTTTCCGCAAGTGGACCTTCGGAGGGGCAGATCCAGGAAACGCGAAACGCGATGGTCTCCGCCTTGTGCCGCTTTTTTTTTTTTTTCTTTTCCTGATGGGCCAAGAAGCCTTCTTCGTGGAAGCAATCTCTGGCACGGCTTGGCGTGCTCCCCGGCGCTTGTCGGCATGCGAGGCAGCGTGTCACCAGGAACGGATATTGGCCAGCGTCGACGTAAACCGCGCTTTCCTCAAGAGGCCTGACATGCAGAGAGCTGGCCGAAGCCGCGGGTGAGCAGGGCCCTTCGTGCAGCGACCGGCTTCTAGGGCTGCGATGAGGCGCGGCGCTGTCTGAAATGCCTCGAGCCCGTCGCGCATGCCCCACCGAAGCCCGAGAAGACGCACGGGGCACATCGGCGCCAAATCCACGTCATGCGACCGGGTGTTTGAGGCCGCCAAGGGCCGGCTCACGGCCGAGCACGCGATCGACATCAACATGCGCGTCAAAAAGTCCCGCGTAGACGCCCGCGCCACGCAGGTCGGGCAGGCACGTGACACAATCAAATTTTACAAACATGCCTACGCGAATTGCGCAATGAGAGACCGAGGCGGAAGAAGGTGATGTCGTCGTGGGCCAGGGCGAGCACGTCGACCATTTTCGCCCGATTATATCCCCCGATCTTCTGGGCGCCTCCCCGGAAGCAAAGGTGAGTGGGATTGTCGGTGGCGCGTTCGCGTGCCTGCGTGTGTGCGTGGGTCGGTGGGGGGGGGAGGGGGGGGGCGCGTCCTCCGCGCTTGCCGCGTTCTTGATTTTGCCATGTCGTCTCTTTCATGAGGGGCGACCGAACGCCCGCGCGCGCATGCCGCTGCAGGGGCCCAAGAAGACCATCGAGCGAGCCACGGCCCCCGACGGCACCTTAGTCTTGCGCGGCGACTCGGGGTATCGGAAGCTAGCCGGCCAGGAAGACGACGAGACCAAGGACTGCGGCCTCCGCAGACGCAGTCAGGCGCCGTGGAAATACGAGTATCAAAGGGGAGGCCGCGCACTGCGTTGAATGCCACTGCCAATTTCCTCGCCTCTAGGTCAAGTACAGCTGCGCCGCCGAAGCGCATGCTGCTGCTCGCAGTCTGGATGAAGGTTGTCCTATTCTGGCATCGCTACATGAGCTCATCGCGGGGCCCCTGATGCCCATCCTTCCGACCCTCAGCGCCTTCGTGATTACGGCGGACCCTGCATTCACATGTCGCCCACGATGGGCGCCGAGTCGATCTTCCAGTCTCTTCCCAGCAGTGATCTCACGACGCCCGCGGAGATTTCTTTGTTGGGCCGCATCAGCTGGATGGCAGCAAATTGTTGGACTCCGGCATCGTCGACGACGCGCGGCGGCGCAGCGCCTGCGACGCAACGGCGGACGGCCGCGCCCGTGGCGCGATAGAATGCGACGCACGCCTGCAAGACATGGCCGGCTGCCAGAGCTACACGGGCGGAGGCAAAACGCGCGCGCGCGTCGAGGCAGCAACCCTCCTGTCGCCTACGAATGATCGGCCGCCGCTGCTGTTCGTTCGCCTTTCGTTTGACCCCAGAGGCCAGTCAGGCGCAGCCGCTCTGCGCATCGCTCTGCGCATAGAGGGGGGGGGGGCTGGGGCTTGCCCCGCGCAGTGCTTTCGCGGGCCCGCGATTGCTCAGAAGCGAGCGCGTTTCCGCGCTTCTTCCCCGTGCTGATGTCGCGATATCGCGCCCGCATTCGTTGCGCCTTTTGCGCGGGTTCGCGACCTCGCGCGACGTTCTCTGCCCCCTGCGCGCCCTTGCTTTCAGAGCCACCCCGCGGCCTGTCCCGCCCAAGCTGCACTATCCAGGTTGTCTCTGCACATCGCGCCCTGGTGCCAGCTGCCCGGGCCCGCGGGGGAACGTGGCCTCGCTTCTGGCGCCCCCATTTTTATGCTTGGCGTCGGTGGTCGAAACTTTCGACGGTGTGCTTTCGCAGGCGTTGCCGTGAACCTATACAAGAAGGCGCCAACGCTCGATCTTCGGCCCCCCCCCCCCCCGACTTTGAGGGGGTGCCCCGGGGAGGGGATTTATATGCAGCGTTGTTCGTTCGTCCGCCGTTGTGGCACATGGCGGGGCCGCCCCACCTGCGCGCGTGGCCAGCTCCGCCTGCTACGTGCTATTTGCGGCGGCTCTGGGGGGCAACAAAGTTGTTGATCTCTCCGTGTTGCCGCCATCACTATCGCACCTCTTACCGTTACCCGTCTTTCCCAACGTGCGGTGGCGACCTCACTTCGATTCTATCGGGGGGGTTGTTTTGGGGCTATATCGGAGCCTGTTGGGCCGTCCGTGGCGGTCGAAAACCCACGCAGGCGAGAGCTTCAACATCCTGCCACCACCCAGCGCAAAACAATTGTTTTCTATGGCTCTCCGGGTGGGTCTCTTGGAGCCCTCTTGGATTGTCTTGGGGGCCTCTCGGGCTGTGCTGAGGCCGTCTTGCGAGCCTCTTGAACCGCCCCGGGCCGTCGTCTGGCTGCATTCGAAGCTCTTTTGGAAGCCGTTTTGGCCATCTAAGGGCCGACGAGAGCCCAGGAACCATTTGGGAGCAGGAGGAGAGGGGGACAATTTTTCATGGTGGGGGGCGCGGAGCAGGACGGGCCGCCACCAGAAAGCATGTACACAATTCTTGAACAAACAAGCGAACATCCTTCTCGTAACACGCCCCAGAGAACCCAACGGGCAATCTCTAGAGTTGCGCGGCGGGCGACGGCTCGTATCACAACACCGTGGCATGGTTTGGGGCGGGGCAGGCTCTTGGGGTTCGACAGCGAGGCACGCAAAGAGGGCGCTGGACGGCCAGGCCATGGTGGACCAGGTGAAGGAGATGCAGCGGAGCGACCCTGTCGCAAAGGACCCCCGCGCCCCGGCCCCCCCCCAACTGCCCCGTCGGCGCTCTTCGCGCACCCGCCCTCCCTTTCGACGCGCTCGTTCTCTCTCTCTCTCTCTCTCTCTCCATCTCTCTGTTTCTCTCTCTCTCTCTGTCTCTCTCTCTCTCTCTCTCTCGCTCCGTCTGCGTCACGCTTGCTTCGCGTCGACGCGGCGGCGATGCCCGGGGGCGGGTATTCGAAGTTGACGGCCCCCATCGACCGTCACCAGGCCAGCCTTGCACGATCTCCGCTCTTGGATTGCGCGGGTTGTTCGATATCACGTCATTGGCGATTCTACGCTGCGCAGAACGGACCAACGTCTTTATTGTCGCAGCAGAGGCCAGCGATCCCCCCGCAGCTCCGCTTGCGCGCGCGGTGTATGCCCCTCCGCCGTTCGAGAGTTGATGTTGAGTATAAGCCACGCTCCTTTGAGCAGGGTCGGCGCCACCCAGCATACCAATACTGTGTGTGCGTTGCCTCCCCCCAGGGGCGACGCGCTCGCCAAGAAATCTTATGATTGTATGAGATCCGTGGTTGACGCCTTCTGGTGATACCGTTCGGGAAGAGATGTACGGCAAAGTGTGTGTGTGTGTGCTACATGTTCGGTTTGGATGGGTGCCTCCAAGGAGGGCCTATAATACTAGTATGTCCGCATGCGTCCCATAGGGCTCCCATCTCGCACAGGTTCGAGGGAAGAAAACTTGATGCCCATGACCAAGGTGTCGCGGGATCTTGGCGATGCCGAATTTGGTCTTGGTCCATGCCAGCCGTCGCCGACTCCCGAGAATGATGGCCAACATGGACGGTAGCAAAGGTCGACACCGACGTTTCCGCGTTCGGTGTTCGTCATGGTCCTCCTTCTCTTTGCCCCCGCAGGCGGTGCGCCGCCGCTTCCCCTCGCGCGTGGCGTCTTGGGCCCCTCAGGGAAGCCAGGGGCGTGAAAGCAGCCCTGCACTGGGCGCGCCCCTCCAGGAGCAGTGGCACGCGTTCTGCGACCAGTACGGCGAGGGCGTGCGGCGGGGAGGGGACAAGGGCCGAGGAGAGCAGGCGCGCGACTGCGCTCGCGGCGCCTCGCTCCCATCCCTTCTCCCCGTGGTGGGAGCCAGAGGAGCCTGACCTCGTCAAGGGCGTAACGACTTCTGCTGTTCTTCGACTCGCGCTGGAGCGTCCACGATTTGCTCCAGATGCCCCTGGCGATTTCTGGATTTCCCAGAGCAGCCGTGGCCCTTCCGCGATTCAGGCTTCGGGGCCCTGGGATCTCGAGGCACTTGGCGGAGGACGCGACCTCTCCTCCTTCCTCCTCCCCATCTCGTCTACCCCATCCACATCCTCCTCCCTGCGGCGCCCAGCTCAGGTGCCATCGGCAAGCGCGGGGGAGGGGGGGAGATCAGAAGAGGGAGTTGGGCCTGGCGTGGCCTGGCCGTATCGGGTGCTCGCTGGTGCACTTCTCCACCTCCCTTCACCTTTCCGTGTCCCGTTTATTTTCCTACCCTCTTCCTCATCCACATCCCTTTTGTCATTTGCCTCCTCCTCCTCTTCCGCTTCCTTCGGGGAAGGGCAGGGACCCCGCCAAGCACGACATCTCTTTTCTCAATAGCTTCATCACCCAGTACCAGTCTGGGGCGCGCCTGGAGTACAAAGAGGACATGCAGGGGCAGGGGAGTTTGGAAGCGTTGCCCACTGCCCATGCTTATCTTCACGATCATGGGGCAGTGGTGGAGGTGTAAGACTCTGAGAACGAGAAGGGGCGATGTTGAGATGTATCGACAGTTTTCACACTGGGGCGAAGGCTGATAGTGTCAGAAGGGCGGACAGGGTGAGCACCACGTGTGATCTTGAGATGCCTGCGAGACGTCGTACGGTTCAAACAGTCCTAGCAAGAAAGTTGATCGTTTGCGACCCAGCCAAGAGGCAGTTTCTTGCATTCCAGAGAACATTGAGAGGACTCCTCAGCCACTCGTCTCGACCCCTTTCCCAAGAGATGCTCTTGCATCCCAGAGCGTTATTCACAGCCCCGTTGCGCCAGAGTCCAAATTTCGCATACGTGTTCTGCCTATATTGTTTCAAGCTGTTGGTGGTCTGGGCAACTACGGCAGATTCGCGCCGAGTTGCTACGGCAGCGACTCCAGCGGGGGCGTTCGAGGCCGAGCGCCGCCAGTTGTCAAGGGTTGACCGATGTCGAACGATTCGTCGCGGTATCCGAGAGCTGTGATGCTGTGATCGCCACGCCTTGTCAGGGGCTGTCGCCGAAGCCATCGAGACGTGAACCTGCCGCAGTTGGTGAGGGGAGCTGTGAGAAGTGCTCAGCGGCCCGTCCTGGGCGCAGGTAGCGGGGCCAGCGTGAGCCAGCCAGCCCCCCTTGACTCCTTCTGGCTGCCCCCCGTTCGGGAGCCACGTGCGGCCTCCCCCGCCCTCCGCCGTTCTGGGTCCTGTAGCTGCCGAGCGCCCGGCCAGCGTCCGCGACGCTTCCCTGGCTGGTCCGTATCAGCGCAGGCCTGGGCCGGCGCGGCCCCGCCCACGGGCCGCACGCGGAGCGCAGGGCGGCGAGCTCGTCAAGTTCATCAAGCTGGGGCAGAGGAAGTCGCAGGGCTGGAAGGCCGCGTGGGAGCCCCCGCCTCGGCCGCCGCGCGTGGTCCCGGCCGATCCCGGCGGAGCTGCGCGGGGCGATGCCCGCGCTCGAAGGTCATCTGAAGGGCTTCGCCCTCCTCCGCCCAGGCCTCCCCTCAGACTGCCTGCATGGCCGCGCTTGGTTGGTAGGCTGGTTGGTCTTCTTGTCTTTCGGCTGGCTGGCTGGCAACCTGGCTGATTGGCGGGTGTTCCTGCAAGGGTACTGGGCGATCCATTTGGGGTGTTTGCTGGCTTGCCTGCGTCTTGGGTATTTGATTAGGGATGGTGGTCTCGGGAGCGCGCTTCCATCGTGCTTCAAAACGATTCGATGCCTTAGGAGCGCGCATCCCTATCTGTCTCATTGCCTTAGGCCCATCCAGCGCCACCGTGCCTGGGTTGTGGGTCAGAGTTCTCAGGGATGCGTCTCCGGGTCTCCGCGGCGCGGTCTCTGGAGCTTCTTGGGAGAAGTGTGGGGGCCTCTTAGGAGCCTCTTTGGGGCCGCGTGGGGGCCTCTTGGGGCCTCTTGGGAATCTATTAGGGCCTCTTGGGGGCTCTTGGAGCCTCCTGGGTACCCCTCGGGGCCGAGGCCTCGAAATGTCCGTTCGGGTTCCCCATCTGGGCCCCCTCTTGGGGCCGTCTTTGCTCTCTCTCGGGCTGTCTTGGGCGCCTCTTGGGCCGTGTTGGGGTCCTCTTGGGCCGTCTTCGGGCCCTCTTGTGGGCCTCTGGGGCCGTCTTGGGGCGATCTTTGGGGCCTCGTGGGCCGTCGTGGAGCGTCCGGAAACCGAAAAGGCGAGACCGCCAACATCTTTGAAAAACCTATATGGGGAATGAATGATTTGTGCTTCTTGGGGCCCTCTCGGTAGGTCTTGGGGCCCTGTTGGGCGCGAACAGTCATGCGAGAAGCCGCGACAAGCCCCCGACGAGCCGCGACAAGCCAGAATTTGGGGTCCAGGCCTTTGAAAAGCTCCGCAGGAGTGAGGATTGAGGCTTAGGGGATTGGGCCCAGGACCCGAGGACACGCCCACTTCGTGCCCAGAGGCACGGTGGCGGATTTCAGAGGATTCGCGGTCTCTCGCACCCTGGGCCGCATTCTCGGGAAATGACGGGTGGGCCGAAAAGCGCCCCCGAATATGTCCCAACACAGATAATGTCAGTTTTCTGGAATGTGACTGGCACTTTTTGGCAGCCTCCGTAAGGCGGTTTCGTGACCCCGAGGGCACAGGTTTGTGTTCGATTGCAATGGGTTGTGCCTTCGAGGGCCTGCGCAGGCGGTAATGGATTCGGAAACGTGGCTTCGGGGCGCGAACCCAGCGCACTTGACAACAAGGGCCTCCTGGTGGGGGCATGAGCCTGGCGTTCTTTGTGGGCGATCGATTCTTCGGGATCGCCAGCGTGCAGTGATATTGAAGATGGTGTGGCTTCGCGGGCGCAAGCTTGTCACAATGGACTAAAGATGGTGACCTCGGGAGCGCGAAGCTGGTGCAATTTACATGGGATTGTGGCTTGGGGAGCGCGAGCCTGGCGTATTTTACGAAGGATTGTTGCCTCGGGTGCGCGAATCTGGTGTAATTTACCATGGAGTGTGACCTCGGGAGCGCCAGGGGCTGTGGCTTCAGAGACGCGGGCTTGTAATTCACAAAGGCTTGTAAACTCGGGCACGCGCATCCGACGCAGTTTACAAGGGATTGGTTTGGGGAGCGCGAGTCTGGCGTCATGTGGCCTGTGGAGCGCGAATCTGGCGTATTGGAAGGAGAGCGAATCTGGCGTAGGTTGGCAAGGTATTGTGGCTTCCGGAGCACGAGCCTGGCTGTAGCTCGTGGAACCCGATTCTGGTGCAATTTATAGTGAAATGTGGTCTGGGGAGCGCGAGCCTGGCGTACTTCACAAGGCAAGGCATTGTGGCCTCGAGAGCGCGAATGCGTCATGTAGAAGGGGATGTGGCTCATGGAGCACGGATCTTGTCTACTTTATTTCAGGTTGCGGCCTCGGGGCGAACCCGCAGTGATTCACCAGGGAGTGTGGTCTGGGGAGAGCCCATCTGGTTATAGAGGGTTGTGTCTTGTGGACCGCGAACTTTGTGCAATTTATTCAGGATGTTGGCCTCGGGAGCGCGAATCTGCTTCATTGGGCGCCTCGTACGCTGGTTGTGTCTGCCGAGATTTCGCATGATGGGTTGCCGCGGGCGCCTCGTGGGCGCCCCGTGTGCTGGTGATCGCAGGCGCGTTGCTGGTGTTCGCGTGCCTATTGCGGCGATCTCAGGCTATTGAGGCATTGGCATGGCGTGACACAGTGTTACGCATGCATGTAGTAGCCGCATGCGATGCTCTTGTGGCACTGGCATGATGGTTCTCCTCGCCGCTGCACTGCCTGTGCTCGCAGGCTTCGTTTTTAGCGTTCTGAGGCAATTGCAGGGTCGTCTGGCATATTGATACAACATGTTAAACAAACAAACACGCAGGGTTTGTTTGTATGCCCTGGGGCCATCCGCAACATTCCAGGCAAAAAACAGTCCCATGAGGAGAAGGGGTTGAGAGGTCCAGAGGCCAACGACTTGAAACACAGATCCAGCCGCCGAGTGCTTGGGATCCCCTTGTGCGCTGTGCACGATCGCCACTGGACCGGACTGATACACGTGCGGCTCGCGTGCGAGACGCTGTTCGCGGCTCGCGGCGGGGCGGGTCGCGCTGCACGCCGCGGGCGGCCCGATGCAGCAGGATGTGCGGTGCCCCCGCCTGCAGGCGGCACCGTGCACGCTCCTGTTTGTTCGCGGGGCTGGTGGACGTCTGACTGTTTCGGGAGGCGGGTGGCTGGGGTCCACCGAACGGATCTGATCGGCTCCAGTGCGACTCTTGTTCGGCTCTAGCTGGACTCTCAAGTGCGACTCAAGTCTGGCTCAAGACGATGAACGTTCGACGCAGCATTGACCCGAGTACTCCTGAGGACTCCAGCGGCCGCCTAAGGCCTCCTGAGGACTCCTGAGGGCTCCCGAGGACCCCTGAGGACTCCCGAATGCCCCTGAGGACTCCCAGTGACCCCTGCGGACTTCTGAGGCATCTTGGGGACTCCCGACGGCCCCTCAGGGGCAGCATCGACGCATGAGAGGAACGACTGGCTTCAGGAATGCCCAGTCCCCGGAGCGAACATGGAGTTCCATGCGTGTCGACGGAGGGCTCCCTGAGGTGGGTCCCTTCTCCGGCAGCAGGCTGCAGCTTGTCGGAGGCATCGGGGACTGGGGCCGCTGACCCTCTTTCGGCGGCGAGCCCAGCAGGGTCCTCATCCGCCGCCTCCTCAGCATCATCCGATTCCTCTCTCGCTCCCTCCCTGAAACCGCCGACCCGTCGGCGTGGCGTGTGTGAGCGTTTTTCGTCGTCGTCGTCGCCGTCGTCATCGTCGTCGTCGTCCTCGTCGTCGTCGTCCTCGTCGTCGCCGTCGTCGACGTCGTCGTCGTCGTCCCGCTCCCCCTGGCTCGGAAGTCCCCTGGCCTTCTGAGAAGAATTCCACGCCTTCCCCGAATACGCAAAAGACCTCTCAGAAGGCGCGGGGGCTTCTGAGAAGTCCCGGCGCCTTCTGAGAAAGTTTCTCCTTCTCGCTTCCCCCCCTCGCTCGCCGCCTGCGCTTGCTGCGGTAAGTTCGCGTCGTGTCGACCGGCGGCGACCATGCCGTCGGCGTTCAACGTTGAACGCCGCCAGCGACCCATAATCGGTCGATGTTGAACGTTCAAGGTTCCCCGCGGTGTTAGAAACCAGCGCCGAGGTCGGCACGACACGAGCCTGCCATGCGTCCTGACTGGAGCAGTGCCGAGGGCCTACTGCGCCGAGCGCCCCAAGAACAACGGGAGGCCGGAGCACGACCCCGCGAAGCACGACTCCTCGTTCCTGGAGGCGCGGGCCGTGCGCCAGGGGAAGATTCTTGGGGCGGGCCGTGCGCCAGGGAGAGATTCCTCTCGCTGCGCGGGGTGCACGTCCGGAGCACGTACAGTCACGTCGTCGCGGGGCCTCTTGGGAGCCTTTTGGGGCCTCCTGGAGGCCGCCTGGGAGTTTCTTTTGGCATTTTGGGGTCTTCTTTGGGCCCTTTCCCCCCTCCCTCCTTTTCATACACCCTCATCATATTCCCTTCCAGCGCCGGCTCCAATCATGGGCGCCGCAGTGACCAACTTCCACCTGGCTGGCGCTGCGCCGCAGTTCGCCCAGAGGGGGGAAAATAACATTACACACCAGTCGCCGTGTGGCCTTTGGGGGGCTTGTTGTAGGCCTTTTGGAAGCTTCTGGGGGACTTCTCGGAGGCTTGTTGGGGGCCTCTTGGGGCCTCCTGGGGGCGTCTTGGGCCGTCTTGGGGCGCTTTTGCGCCGTTTCGCCCCCTCGGAGGCTGTCTTGGGGGCCTCTCGCGGCCGCATTGGAGCCCTTTTGTGGTCCTCTTGGGCCGTCTTCGCTGCCTCTTGGACCGTCTTGGGGGCCTCTTTGGGTCGTTTGGGGGCCGTCTTGGGGCCCTCCTGGGTGTTTTTTGGGCCGTTTTTGGGGCGGTTCTGGAAACTGCTTGGGCCGTCGTGGATTTTCGAAAGCCGAAAAAGACGAGAACGCTAAAACATTGCAAAACCATAGGACAATCAATGGTTTGGGCCTCTGGAGGCGCAGTTATGGGCGCTCTTGGGCCCTGTTGGGCCGTCCTCGGAGCTTTTGGGGCCCTCTTGGGGCCGTCTTGGGGGCCTCATGGGCCCCCGTTGGGAGTATCTTGGGCCGTCTTAGGGCCATCTTGGGCCATTTTGAGGCCCTCTTGGAGCCCCAAGAGGCCCAAGAGGCCGAAATTGTTGATTTTTCATAGGTTTTTGTAAGTTTTTAGGGCCGCGTCATTTTGGTCCGGCGGTGTGGCGCAGCTCCCAGGGGGGGGTTAGGGGGGGAGACATAATAATGTAAGACAATACAACGTGTTGCAATTATGGAATCTTTGGGTACATTTGATACGTTGCATTAAGGCGTTCGCCGAAAAACGCTGCCGCTCAGCACGTCACCTCCGGACGTGGTTTCTTGGGCTTACGCCGCACCGCCGACCCCTTGTGGGGCTCCTGGCAGCACTTTGGAGTCCTTCTGGGGGCCGTTTGGGGGCCTCTTGGGGCAGGCCTCCTGGAGCCTCTTGGGGGCTTCTTGGGAGCATCTTGGGGCCTGCTGGAGGCTTCTCGGGGCCGAGGGCTCGAAAATTCTGAGCCCCCTACTGGAGCCGTTTTGGGGGCCTCTTGGGCCGCGCGGGCCTTGCGCCAGGGGGAGACTATCTGCGCCCATGGGTCAATTCCTTTTTCCAGGCACTCGGATCCGGGCGTCGCAGCGAAGATCGTGGCAGCAGGTCGTTGTGGCAGTTTTTGGCCCCTCTGGAGGCTGCCTCACAGCTCTAATGTGCGCTTGGGATACAGGTGAGCGGGAACGAGAGTGCGCCCGCGGCCGCTTGGCTCAAAGCGGCCGGCCGCCCAGATCTGACTACACTTCAGCGCGAGGTGTACTATTTGCCATCGATACCCAAATTGCTTGAGATGGCTCGCCCCCTACTACTGGGTCTATCGCTACTACGGTACAGCAGAGAGGGAGCTGGGCTTCGCCTGAGGCGAAGCTGCTGGTTTGGTCTCCCAACCCCTTTCAAACTCGGTAGCGGAGCTCGCCTATGGTGGTCAGCTCTAGCTCTATTCCTCACCATCCACGGCACTATCTGGTGTACTACTGACGTGGTGGGACATCAGGGTGCAGTGGGCTTGCGCGGAGGAGTGTACATAACTATGCAATATCGCAAGGACACTTGCAATGACACCTCTGTCTACGCAGAGGCCTCTTACTTGCGTCCTACATCCCTGCACTACTACACTTCTGAAGTCCACCCACCTACTCCAATTGGAATCTTCTTCGAAAACATAATGCATGGAAACATGCGATGCGACGTTGTGCCGCCTCCACCCCCACGCAGGCTTACGACCACACACAACAAGCCCCAACCAACCACATATGACTACGAGCTATGAGGCCATTGGATTGGTATAGATATCTTTGGGCTCGCATGGGTTGCTATCGGGTGCGCGGTGGGACACGTGCGCGGCGGAGACGACGCAATAACCACCGGGCCCCATTGGGACCCGGCAGGTCAAGTACCTTTTTGCGAATCCGTTCGCGAGGTGCGTGCCTGGATCGACGTGACCACAGGCGCCGCGACGCCCCCCCCCCCCCCCCCCCAACAAGCTGCAGCAGCGCAGCGAGGCTTGGGAGGCCTCGCACGGACCATAGCCATGAGAGTTCCCCCAGCAGTTATCAATTTCGGCGTTGACATAGTTGGCCGCCATGCCGATGGCGCCACCTACGTCAGGTTCCTCTTTAAGTACGACGTTCGAGAACCTACAAGAGGAGCGCCAAGTCAACTCTGGCACCGCTCCCATTGACTTCCGAGTCCATGCGGGAGAACGGATCGACCAGACTTTGGCGCGCTTCGAGATAGTCCGCTATGAAGCTGAAACGGCAGGCTTAAACGTCCCCACTTTCCAAATTCTAAGAGTCATCTTTTTCGGAGCCCTTGGAGCGGGGGCGTCGCGCGCGCAACAACTCCTACAGCCACTAAGCCACCGCGTGCCGAGGGGCCAGCATCTGTTTGACTCTCTACTGTAACGCGCGAGGTCATGCGCCCACTTCGCTGAGAGAACCCCTGGCACTGTTGGCGGCATCTTCAGTCGCGGTCACCGTGCCGAGACCTTCCACGCTGAGACCAACGCAGGGGAACCTGCTGATAACGTCTGGAATGACGATCCGCAACCAGCGGAGACCACCACACGATGGACTCAGAATGATGGTTCGGCCTCGGGGCTGCAAGACTCCTGGGCCTGGTTTGGCGGGCCGCCCGACGCGGCGGCTCCTACGCAAGCTATTATTATCTTAATGGGCTCAGCGGGGCAACCTGCTGAGTCCGACTTCGACTCTGGTCTGGCACCGACGCCGGCGCGTCTTCGGACGACGAGGCCACCGCTCTAGACTACTCGGATATGCCCGCGTACCTCACGGAAGAACAGCAGGCGCAATGGTTATCCTTAGGATGCCAGAAACGCAGGCGGAGGCGATTTATGAAGAAGCCAGTTCGCAAGGTACGGCGTATTATCCGACGGGCGTTCAGGGGAAAGGGCAAGGGTCGAGGTAAGGGTGAAGGTAAACTGCGGCGACTTCATGGCCGAGGCATGCTGGTATTTCTAGCACCCCTCATTGGTCTTCAGCATGAAGACATGTTCCTAGGCGCAGGCAGGAACCGCAGGCACACATCAGGAAAAAAGGCAAGGGGCGTCGGGGGCGCCCACAGGATGCCAACGGTAAAACTATGGAGTGCGACATCTGCCATAGCACACATCACTTTCTCCGCGAATGCCCTCAGGGCGATGGGAGAGGCAGAGGTCCGTGGATACATCTGGCTAAAACTGACTCGGATATGCAGCATGTTGACTGGGAGTCACTTTTGGCCGACCCTGCCGACCGCTGGGTTGCAGACGTGAACATCACGGCTGCCAGATATTCGAGTGCTGGCATGTCCCTTGAGAATTATGCCGACGAGCTGTTCGGGGAGATATTCACTGGCCACAGTGATATCGACCTGGCAGACTGGCTGGGCATGCCCGTCGCGGGGCAAACTGCCGATATTGAATTCGTTGAAAACTTCCACATGCCCGCCAAAGAAGACGACGAAATGGCGGGCGGGGGCACCCACGGAGTCAGAAGCCACTTCAGAGGAGGAAATACAATTGATGCTTTATCCTCTGCTTATTGGCAATCCGACAGATATGGAATTTAGTGACGATGGTCCTTTGCGGGGAAACCCGCGAGATGCTGGCGATCTGTCTGAGCGCATCCAGTGCGAGCTCGGCCGCAACGAAAGACTTCGATCTGCATTCGTAGCTCCGGGCCGCCCCATGGGCCGCCAGGGGCGATCGGTGAGCCGCCTGGCCTGGACGCGCGAGTATCGCGCCGACGACGATGGCGAAGAATGGGAAGATGACGCGCGCCTGGCACGTCGCGGTCGGGCCCGCAGTTGCACCTCAACGCGCGCGCGCTCCAGCGGGGCTCGCTCGAGCGGCCTTCAGCGCCCTCATCCCCCTGATAAGAGGGCCCCGAGGGCCCCTCCAAGGAAGGGCAGTGGGCCTGACGCCCCGCCGGGGAGGGGGCGCTCGCGGGGGCGCCCGCGTCAAAGGGAATAACCTCGCGAAGAATATCCAGAAGACGAAATGCAGCGCCTTGTCGACCGCTCGGATGCTGGATTGGCTCGTCAGTACATAGACCCCGATAAGATGCGGCACTGTTTGAACAGGGGTTGGACTGGGCGCCGGGTTCGCCATTGGCATCCCCTTCGCAATGTTGAACGACGTGATGAAGGCAAGGCCAATCGCTCAAAAATGAAGGGCGCTGTCAAAACGCCAGAAGCCCTCATCAAGCGCGCTGTGTTGTAGCGAGGAAACGGACACTTTACGGAGGCGTTGTTTGCACTTGCTTCGAGCATGCCGACCGTGGGCTCGGCGGCCCCATGAGGCGCCCATCAAGGAGCCCCACTTTACGCAAGGCCCCGTGGGTCTGGTCTCACGGCGACGGCCGGGGTCACTGCGCCGATCCGAATGCAACGCCATGCGACGAGCAGTTGGCGGAATCTGATTACGAACAAGCCGCAACTCAAGAGATTGCCCAATCCAAGAAGAAATGGAAGCACCTCTCACCTGTCCATTATTTCAAATTACTCTATCGTGATTGGAATGGGGGGAAACCTGCTTCGTCCAAACCAGAAGAAGACTACCCGCAAGAAGACGACGAAATGGATGACATGGCCGAAGCGGTGGGCCCTACAGTTCCTCCAGGACACGGCTCGGATTACTCCGGCGCCTTCTCCA